TAGTTTTACACAAGGGTTATTGATGATTAGATTTTTTAAAGAATTTTTAAGCTCAAAAGATGATCGTATTATATATGAATAAATACGGCAAATGATTTACTTTTCTTTTACAGAAGGGCTCATGTTTTGCATCAATGTGAGATTATTACAGATTACAGTTCTTGTCACAGATATAAACCTGTAAGATTTATCCTAATCTAGAAAAAAAAAAAAAAGATGTGGTTGTCCTATTATATCAGACACGTGTAAATGCTGAGTCAGCACTAATAGAAAAATTCCCTAAATATTTAGCTGTAGTTATATTTAGATTTGTTAGCTGCAACTTATGTGACCTGAAAAAGATGTAGTTATTTAAGATCCCAGTCAGTGTRCACTTACTCTTCATTTCCATTTTCATTTTCGCCATAATAATCAGGGAAATAGTCCTGTCTGTCCAGCATTTCCTGGTATTTTTCTGCAGATTTTGTGAAAAGAGGGAAAAAAAGACATTTACACACAGCAGTGACTGCAACATGAACATGTCTGTATTTAGAATAACAAAACAAACTGCACAATATATCCATCCATACTACTGTTCTACAAATAACAATGTGTGGAAAAACTATTTGTTTATCCTCCTCCAGTGTTCATGTCACTCAGGTTTATGAAAATTATTTTTACTGCTGGAGCAACAGAACCTCACCTTTAATTTTTTAATAAATATCAACAATAACAAAAACAGATATCTAAGTTTATGCAGCTGGCGGCAGAGAAGCTGGTGATAAGAGCTCCGCAAATGTTTGCCGCTAAAGCTCAAACATTTAAATGGTGAACCAGATCACCTTCCTGAGCTCATGTCAGCAGGTAAACAATGCAGAAAACTAGGGCTGCAACAACGAATCGATAAAATCGATAAAAATCGATTATTAAAAGCGTTGGCAACGAATTTCATTATCGATTTGTTGTGTCGCGCGAGTTATGCGTCCCTTGCCATGTCGCGGTGCTGTTTATGTCACCAGCAGAGCGTTGTCAATGCTGGCTGACCTGAATAAAGTTTAGGAAGGAAAAAACAAACTCTACCTGTAAAGATCTGCCCTCTGACTTTTGAGTGAAAAGTAGAGACTTCGAACTTTAAAGCAGTTTTTAAATTGTGTTGTTAGGCCAGGTAGAACCGAAGTTATGATAAAAAGTATATGACACAGTTAATATTTTTAAAAGACAGTCTGATGTGAGTCGTGTGGCGAGGAGGAAACGCATGCGGGGGGAGGGGGGACCTAAATTCACCATTTGTTTCGTCCTCCTCCTCGGGCCACAAGTATAAAAACCCTCCAGTTTTTTCTGACTGAGGCTCAGTTATTTGTTGAGCAGCAAAAAGGTTCAGGACGAAGGAAAGAAGGAAAAAAAAAGACCCGATTGCTTCAGAACCGGTTACTGGGTCAGAACAATGGGCCTCATGCAAGAACATGTTCGTATTCTTATCCTAAATTTCTCTTACTTTTGTTC